CCGCTGGCGGGGCCCGCTGGCGGAGCTACTATTGGTACCAAAAAAAATTATACTACTACTATTACTACTAATACCACCACGACTAAGACTACTACTAGCGCTGGCGGGACCTGCAAGCGTTTTTTTTTTAATGTTTGTCAGCTTTAAACCCTAAAGCCTAAAATGTACTGCGTGGTAACAGAGCTGCCGGTTTTACAGTGGTTTTTGCAGGCCCAGAACTTTAAAATCGCAGGCCCTAGGCCCCAAACCCGAAGCCTTGACACCCTCAATCCCAAACCCGCAACGGTGAGCCCTAAACCCAAAACCCAATGCCCTATACCCTAAATCCCAAGCCCTAAACGGGGTTTAGGGGTTAGGGTTTAGGGTTTACCCTCTGCCCTAAACGGGAAACTACTGTTATCGTGGCTGTTTACAACACCTCCGGGTGCTACAAATAATCGTGCTGACGATGCCTGCGTGAATAAGACTAGTGATAGTACTGCCTGTAGACGGCAACAAAGCTCCAGAATTAATGGCACGGACATCACCAACATGATGTGTCGTAGTTGTTGCTGCGCTTATAATGATACATAACCCTTGCAGTTCGTTTTTGTTTTTGAACATTCTTGTTCTTGCTTGTTATGAGCCTCATTTCTTCCCAGGGGTGTTTCCGAGACCTACGATTGTGTCGGCGACGTCGATTCCGGGTGTCCTGGCCACCAGTTTTCACAACATGGCTTGTCATCCCGGACTGACCCTAAACCCCTGAAGCCCAAACCCTTAAACCCTAAAGCCCTAAACCCTAAACCCTGCAACTCTAAAGCCCTAAACCCAGAAGCCCTACTGTAAACCCTAGACCCTGAACCCTTAACCTAAACCTGGCGCCTAGGCCTCGTGGGTAGTTCTTAGCTCTTGCAGGGTGATCAGTATCTCAGGAGGGTATTACAGTAGCTACCTTACACATACCACTCTGCTTAGACGCCGTGAGCTTGTAAGTTACAGCAATGTAGCAGCCTAAATAATCGCCTGACTCTTTACAGTTTCGTTGTCATACTCAAATCATAGGATATCATATGAGAAAGGGGCCTTAATAATTACTAATACTATTTTAGGGCGATCCTTATTGTAACTATAGTATAATATATAACGCGCTCCCCCCCAAAACCCTGTTCTAATTATTAAGGCCCCTACATTAGGCCAACCCCTGTTCTGACTCATCAAGGGGGCAAAATCAGAGGGTCTCTTTCCACGTCACGTGGGAAGCTTCTCAGGGCCATCCCTAAACCTTAAACCCTAAACCCTAAAGCCTAAACCCTAAACCCTAAACTGGGTTCAGGGTTTTGTTTGTGGCCGGGCTGGTGTGGAAGATGTTTCTGGAGATTCCTGCGATGGTGGTTGGAAGGCAAAGGCTTCGGCATTAGAGGTTTATGGCGTGGGTGTGGGTCTGCAGGAGTAAAGGTGCGTTCGCTTTACATAGATGTTTTCTAGTCAAAGTTTCGCGTCCGCACTCGCTGAGGCTTTGCGGGCATAAAAAGCAACAGGCCTAATTGTCAATGCTCCGAGCCTAAACACTAAACCCTAAACCCTAAACCCTGACCCGACAGCCTAAACCCTACAGTCTATCTTGCAAGCTTTTGCCCCAATCCTTGCAAACGGAACCCCGCACTCGAAACTTATATAAGAGCCCTAAAACCCTCTCCATTACAGTACCCTCATACTTTGGAGGTTCATGGGTAGTTATCAGTGGGGTTTAAAGTCCCCTAATATGGGTTATAACTTTAGTTATCTGACTTCAAAGCGTACTTATCGCTACCCATGAACCTCCAAGTGGAGCCCTTGCAGTACCTTTTTTACAGAGCTCTGAGAGTACGTTTGTAGGAAGCTGGGCTTTGAGCCCATGGTTCCAGGACTGATGGTTCGCACACTAGGCTTTAGAGCACAAGGTGTTATCAGTTTAAGGCTTTAGGGGAGAGAGTTTAGAAACCCTAAACCTTACACCCTAAACCCTAGGTCGAATGATTACTAAAGTTGTTCCTGAGGGTTTTTTCCTATCCTATGGTATGCTACTCCCCCGAAAGCCTGTTCATGCCCCTTCACTATCAGGGTTTCTGGCCAGTATGGGTTGTAGCCAATGCTCATAGGTTTGTAGGGTACGGGTTGTAAGATGTCGGGGGTTCAGGGCGCCAAGGACTGTAGGGTTTATGGCTTTAGGGCTTAGGGTTCTGCGACTTAGCGGTTCGGGGCGGTTTAGGGTTTAGGGTTTAGGGTGTAGGGTTTAAAGGTTAGTGTCTTGAATCAGACCTAAGATTCAGCATGAGGGCTAAAGCTTGCGCAAGGATGTAGAGTTAGGGAGAGTATGCCAAAAAGTTCCCGACTCTTTTTAGAGTGTACAGTCCCGTCACACTCTCGTCCAGGCTTCTATATGAAACCCTACATCCCTTCAAACCCCAAATCCTAAGCCCTGAACCCTAAAGTGCCCCTAAACCGCAAGCCCAAAACCTCTCAGACACATCCAGGCACATACACCGGGGGAATGTCCAATTGCGCGATCTGCCAAATAGCGACGTGAGGATCCAAGATCACAGGTCGCTCTTTGTCCGTTCACTGCTACGGTTTCTTACCGGTTATTGCGGATGCGGCAGTAATGTTGTTGTGGTTGCCAGGTGATACTGATAGCCATTGTCCGGATTCTTCTTTGTGTTCTCGATCTTCTCACCACCATCATGTCCATCATCATCACCATTGTCACCATCATCACCACCGTCGAACTCATCACCATCATCACCATCGTCGTCGTCGCCGCCGTCGTCGTTGTTAATGTGGTTGCGATTGTTGTGGTTGCGGTTGTTGTGGTTGTGGTTATGGTTGTTCTTGTTCTTCTTCTTCTGCTTTATCTTCCTCTTCTTGTTCTGTCGCTGGCAGTCTTTGTCAATATGTCCTTTCCGTTCTGGCTGGAGGCCAGGATTCTCGGACGAAGGCGTTCAGGAACTTAAAGTGTTTAGGGTTCAAGGTCTGGGGTACCTTTAGCACCACAGGCCTCAAACCATACGCCCTGATGTATGCCAGTGGCAGCACCATCCTACACCACCGGAAACCCCGCAGCACCCCCTCACGAGCATCGCGATGGGCCCCCAAGCCCTAAACCCTAAACCCGAAGCCTCCCGGAGAGGAAGCACACCTGCAAGGGTGTGGGGCTCTCAACGGAGGCAGCGCAAATCTGGGAAGGGTTTCAGGGTTTGGGGGGGCCTTTTACTCTGGACTTAAAGCCGAAGAACTACGGTAAACCCTAAACCCTAAAACCCTAAAGCCCTGCCCTTAAACCCACTGCAACTTCGACTTCCAAACCCGAATGAGTCGAAAGTTCCGACAATACAGCCTGTACAGTTGTTGAAGCCTGAGCACCGTTTTTAAAGTTGTTGAAGCCTCAGTCTTGCATCGTATGTAGGGGCATGAATCATTGGTAGTGCTTCACTCGCGTTCGCATCCCGTCACGGATAGCAATGCCCCCGGCATCGCGGAGCCTCGAAGACTTGGTCAACGAGGGCTTGACGCCGGACAGGAATGGAAGCCATTTGCAGCGTGGTCTCTACCACCTCAACAAATGTACATTCGTCAATGTCAGGCAGGCAGACCATGCTGATGCAACGCGACGAGCCCTTGGAGCTCTCTGGAAAGACGAGCCGTCCTTGGGCAGCGAGCTCCTGCCGCTGCTTTTTGGCTGTCTACGTCCTCAAGCGTGTGATCGGGGATGGGGAGGTGGAAACGTGGCAAGGAGGGAAGCTGAGTCTGCAAAGGTACAACGGTCTGCTTTCGACAGTGAACCCGCGTAGTCGTCTCAGCCTGAGGTACGTGATGGACAACGCTGACTTGCACTCTGTCGAGAAGTACGACGACCCTTTCACGCAACAGTTGCAGAAGTGGTGGACAGCGCAGACCAGACACGAGCAGAATCAGAACGAGCGGAACATGACACTGCTCTGCAGTGGCCGGAGTTCAAGTTGCGTGATGTCGAGGCTTTCTCGTGTATGTACAAACACCTGTGTTTGCAGGACGCTCAGGGCCCATTCCTGGGCTTCTAGGTCTCCCAGTAGACCCTTTTTCCCTTTTTGTAGGCTTAGGTTCCATATAGAACTATCTTATAAAAAAAAGGGAGCCCTTTTTATTCCTAGGTTACTGGGCATCCTGGGCTTGGATCCGAGAAAAACGCGGCAGAAGCACACTTCGGAGCAGAAGAACATTTCGGCGGGATGGCTTTTGGATAGACCACTGCAACCATGCTGGCGAGACCCGACGCTGCTGAACAATGTCGCAGAGGCCCGGACCGGCGCTCGATGTCTCAAGGCTCTTTCTCTGCTCCCTGTTTTCAAGGGCGACTTCGTGCAGTCCCACACGCTGGAGTATCTGTTTTGCTGCGAGCAGGGAGCCGAGCATAGACTGCTCCGCTGCAAGATCTCCAGAGAGTTCATCAATGCCAACTTCCTGCCCGGCAACAACTCCAAGGTTTTCCTGCAGATCGCAAATGCGGCCGGCTGCCGGACTACAAAAGGCGCCGTGGATTTCAAGGATGTCGCAGCCAAAGTCCGCAAGTGCCTTCTCAAGAAGATTCGCGTGCGAGGCAAAGACGTGTCTTTTCCGAAGATCGACCCGGCGCTGGCAACGCAGAACTCGTGCAAAGCCGTGGAGGTCCTCCAGACTTGGCTGTGCGGCCGGTGGGGTGGCAAGAAGCGACAGCGCGAACAGGGTGACGAGTAAACGGCCAAGGGAGACGTGGAGTCGCCCAGGCTGCCGCCGCTGGTCTTGAAGCTCCAGACCTGCAACAAGGACCGGGTGTGCCACGGTGTGGACGAAGAGGAAGTGTCAGCAACGCTGAAAGCGGAGTTCTCTGCCGAACCAGCCGCGAAGTGTCAGCAGCGCTCAAAGCCTAAACCCTAAAGCGCGCTTCAGGGTGTTCAGGGTCTGTTCGGGTTCAGGTGGTTGGGGCTCCGAGGCTGCCAGGTGGCGCTCTGTCTGTGTGCGTGCTGCCCTTAAACCCTAAGCCCGCCGAGCCTGAACTCGCCCAGGTCTGGAGTCTTCACATCGCAGGCGAAAGCTCAGAGGGGTTGGGCGTGAGGAGCTGTGGTGGTGAGAGTTTTCGTTGCTGCCTGCAAGTGCGGAGCTGTGGTGGAGCCTTTGTCGTTGTTCCTTTGGTGCGCGCTTCAGGGTGCTCAGGGTCTGTTCGGGTTCAGGTGGTTGGGGCTCCGAGGCTGCCAGGTGGTGCTCTGTCTGTGTGCGTGCTGCCCTTAAACCCTAAACCCTAAAGCCGCCGAACCTGAACTCGCCCAGGTCTGGACTCTTCACATCGCAGGCGAAAGCTGAGAGGGGTTGGGCGTGAGGAGCTGTGGTGGAGTTTTCGTCGTTGCCTGCAAGTGCGGAGTTGTTGTGGAGTTTTCGGACCTTGTTCATGTTCAAAACTCGATGCCAAATGGTTTTGCTGAAGCACCCGTCTCTTTGGCGCAGTTGACATTGCCACATTCTCATGTACCGGCCTCTCGTTCACTATACGGATTCAACATATAGTATGTTCGAGTATACTATAGAGTACCATGTCGAGAATTGGTAGTCTTGGTCTCGTGTGCGTGTCATTTCGGATGCGAGAGATCGAGAATCACTTTCTCAAGTTGCGTGCAGGGTGGGCTTGCTGTGCTACTGGCCACCCTAATAGCCACAAGCCAACACGTGCAATTCCAAACCCCAAACAAACCCTCCATAATTCCTTCTGCAGATACTTGCGCCGAGCTTTGCAGCTGGGCTTCGAGGGGCTTATCCTGCCTATGACGGAGACGGTGGAACAGGTGCAATAGGGCTTAGGGCTCTGCAGGGGCCTGAGGAGGAACAAATAGATTGCCATAATAAGGAATCGCTGACATGCACGATAGACTCTTACTGTTGATGGAGTGTTGATGGGCGTGACAAACTCCGGCATTACCCATAAGAAGGAATATACCATAATTCCCATAGTTCAGGGTTCGTAATGCCATGCATGAGTTTGTCCATCAAAAGCGTCACACTAAGAGGGATTTCTTTGTCTTGTTCTTTATGACTATAGCATAAACATATGTTGATTAGTTTGTTTATTGGCACCGTGCCAGTTATTACCATCAGTGTAGTTCTTCATATTCCTTCTTGGGCTCTGCGCTGCTGCTGTATGATGTCCTGTAGGATCGCGTGCGGTGGTGCAGTGTGTTTCGGTTGGCGCAGTATACTCCAGGGGTTGGTCCTGGGACGACATTTTGGTGGGACGGGGGAGTCTTGTTTCAGTCCACAAGGCAAGGACTCTGGGGCGGGGGTTGGAGCTTCTCGGTTTTGAAAAGCATTCACTCTGTACTTCAGGCAATCGTGGTCCAGTAACGCGGAGGCCTTAAGTACGCCGTACTTAAGGCTTCGGACCCTCCCACCCGTCTGACGGGACATCTGCAGAGGGCCGACCTGGTGGATATTTGTATGGGAAATCACGTCCTGAATAACGGGGGGTGGGGTCCCAGGCCTTAAGTACGGCGTACTTAAGGCCCTTGTTGGCCTACCCATGATATCCCAAACCCTAAACGGAATACTGACACAGGTCCCAGGCCTTAAGTACGGCG